AGTAATGAAAAGTAGACTATATAATATTTATATTAAAAGGTAAACTATTCGATACATGTATTATAAAGTCGACTAAATGATACATGATATTTGGCGCAGTTGAAGATCATTTAAGGCACAGTATAAACTACGGCTAACACCGGTTAATAATTAGCAGATTCTAATCACTATGTTACTTCCATCTTAGCTAAACGAAATCCTGTCCCTTTTACAGTATATAATATGGAAAATATAAGAAATATATAGCAAACAGAGTTATCACATGACAAATTCGTAATATCACCATAAATTCGACAGGAGCAATTGATTGACATCGAATGATGAGATTACTTGCGTTATTTTAAATTTTTTATTTCTTGCCTTATTATTTGTGTCATCTCATTTTTCAAACGTTGAATAACCTCACTATCAATATTTCGAATTGCCTCTTGCTATTTATTATAAACTTCATTATCTACAGTTCTAATCTCATTAACAATCACTTCATTATTTGGTTCATTATCGTTAATATTGACTCTATTCCCTTTTCCGCTTTTCACTTTTTTCCATCGGTATAAAAAGAAAATTCCAACAGTTAATAAACTACCACCAAGCATAGATCCAATAACTATAAAGATTGTAACTAGAAAAGGTTGTGCTGGTGATGCAGGAGTAGGTTCAAAACCAGTTTTGGTTTTGGGAGAAGGTCCGGTTGGAGTTTTGGGTGGAGTTTCAGACGGCCCATCATCGAGAATTTTAGGTACAGTTGGATTACTGATCAAAATAGTACCGACCATACCATTTGCACAATGTTGGGCAACACCGCAGTAGAACCATTTCTTACCACTGGCATCTTTAATGTCAAGTACCCATTCCTTCGGGGCTTCGTATGCTTCTGTGATAAAAGCATTGGGTGTTTTTGCTGCAGAACAAGCCCCCTTAGCATCAGATTCGATGATGTTGTGTTTGCCCGAAACCCAAACGAATCTGACCTATTATTATCGAAATAAAAGTAAATATTTTGTGAATAAAATGATATTTTGACATTCAATTTATAGCAAAGGAGACCTCAAAGATTGTTATACATACGGTATCACCCATGGCTGCATTTACGGTGTCAGGTTCGAATAAATTTCTTCCTTCTTTGGTACCAACGTTAACTACGTGTTCCGCAGCTTTAGATAAAGCAATGAGGCCAAAAAGAATTAAAAATATGGTGGGAGCTTTGTTCATTATTTTATTTTGTTTGACGGGAACAGGAAAAGATAATTTCATTTTTATTAAAAAAATTTATTTGGAGTACTATATTTATTTATGATGTGGTATCACGTAGAACAACGACGATTATAGGGCAAACAATAAAATAATCGTACGAGTTTGTACAAGAATGAACAGAAAAAAATTTTTTAATGTATGAAAATTGTAAAAATACTTAAAAGGTTAACAAAAAAAATCCTCAAAAGTTTTTCAAATATCAATGCAGCATATTATATTTTATTTATAATAAATTTTATAAATTTTTAAGTTTATTCTAATGAGATTTTTTTTTTTTAAAAAAATAAAAAATCGAGTGATACGTCGATCACTCACTAATTCGTAATTAATACTTTATCGGAATTCAATAGGGTCGTACAAAAATTAAATAAATTTGGAATTTTCACAATAAAAATAATAATGAAAGGTTGGTGTATAATGGTGGTAATTACAAAAATTAAGTAAAAGTGTTGATTTGGAATCGGTCCAAATTTTAAAGTATTGCACTAATGATTTTGACACTAATTAATTATGACTTTATTTGATATTGATATCACAATTCTTATTTAAAAATGGAAATTTCTGCGCCGCTAGTGAAATTCTGACGTCATATAGGTATCTTCCCATCACCCAGCTATGAATAATGATAGTCTAGTCAGATGTAAAAGTCGTAACCCGAACCTGACCGACCCCAGTGTTGTCATCACTGGACAATGGACAATGGACAACACTGGAAAAAAAATGCTGTCCATTGTCTATTGATCAAGCAATTGATATATGATAATTGTGTCCATTGTTTGAGTTTACTTATATTTATTAATATACAATTAATAAAAACATATTTAAAATTTACTATTATTATTTTATTTATTTCAATTTTTATCAAAAAAAAAATTAATATATCATACTATTCTTTAAAATTAAATATATAAATTAGAAACAAACAAATCTTCTTCTTCGGTTATATTGTAAATTTTAGTTCGCGATACAGATTTTTCATTTAGAAATTCGGGATCATCATCAATTTCTAATTAAAACAAATAAATATTTAAATATTATTTAATTTAAAATTACCAATAAATTGCCGTTTCGTAGTTGTTGTTGTAATATGAAATTTTGATAATGCTAAAATTCTATTAACGTCGTTAAGTTCATGTTCAGTCAAAAAGTTTGAAGATGTTTATAAAAATAACGTTGAGTATTTGTAAATTTATTATTTTTATCTTTTAATAAGAAATCTTATCCTATATAAGATAAACAAAGAGCCTTCATATTATTTTTATTTGCTTTTTCATTGTGAAGTACTTCAAACCATGAAGTTAATAGATGTGGCGCTTTTCCTCCTGTATATGTCATTTATATTCAAAAAGAGTTTTTATTAAAATTCATGCGATTTGGATATATCACAATGGACACAATGGAAAAGTGTCTATTGTCCATTGTTATACAAATGGATATGTCCATTGCCAACACTGACTGACTCAGCCATTATGTAATTAAATTCGACCTGATTGATTCGTGTAAATAATCCAAGGTCTTGAGTCAATAATTATGTGACCCAATCTGACCCCAAAATTCGAATCGGTCAATAAACCGGGTTTGACAGACCTTTCAGATAGAGTCTTGACGCGTATCTGTGTGACTCAAGTCAATTCGAGAGTTAAATTTTGATTCAAGTCAAAATTTTATAGACACGAATCTTGATTCGAATAAGTATTTGAGTAAACTTGAATTATATTAATTCGAATTGTGATTTTATTAAGGTACCATACAATTTATCATAGAGTAAAACACAGCAGCTAAAATTTTCTGATTTGGTAATCCGTTGTGTCATTAATTTTAGTGATACAGCATTTATTTTATATTTTTTAGAATAATATAACCCGTAAGATCCCAGCTGAACGATCATCAAAACACTTGCTAGAAATACCTATTTAGTTATGATCTACTAGAAAACTTTGCTTGCGAATTTAAATTCATGATTCTTGATTCTTGATTATAGATTTAGGATTAGGAATGATGAATCTGAATCCCTAATCTAAGAAAGTTTTGCCCTCCCTCCCTCCTAACGAATCGATGGTCTATTTATTTGTTTTTTTTTTGAAAAAAAATAAATTGTTACATGCTGATCATATAACAATACACAAAAAAATAAACAATTAAATAAAGCAAAATATTGAACATTCCTTATATAGATATAATCTACAAATATTTTGTAATTAATCTTAAAAATAATCTTTTTTTAACCAAAATAAGAAACAAACATCTAAATAAGTAAAATAAGTAAATAAAAAAAAATCTTATTCACCTTTTTTTACTTGAAAAGAGTAGTTTCATTATTAGCATTTCTTTTTTTGCCCTATAAGAAATTTGGATATAGAAATGATATGGAAATAATATGTTATTAATATGTTTTTAGTAGTTCTGTATCACAATTCTATATATATAATACTGAATTGATTTTTACATATTTTTTAAAATTAAAGTATATAGAAATTATATAGTATTATTAAATATTATATTTATTTAATTTGATAACCAATTACAGTTACACAATTAATATAACTAATGATCAATTTCCAATCTTTTTTTTAGTATCAATTTTCCTTTTTGAACCATTATATTTTTTCTTTTTTTTTAAAACTTTTAATACTTGAACTTGTAAAAATTCTTATTAAATGTACTTTTTTTATTATTGTGAATTCTAATTTTTCTATTTATTTAATATCTTTTTTTATAAACATTAATACAGAGATTTTATGATGAATTTTAAGCAGTTTGATTAAAGTCACCTTTTATCTTTAAGTTAAAGTTATTCAGCAGGTTCGATACTATTTATATCTAATGTTTTATATTGACTGAATTAATATTTGTGTTGAAATTATTTTTTTTGTAACTTTACTAAATAAGTCACACTTTTTGATTTCACAAGAAAATTTGAGCACTTTGGTCAAAGTCAATTGCTTTTTATTTTTAAGTAAAAGTTATTCAGCAGATATGATACTATTTGCATATAAAATATAATCTCAATAAGATTAATATTCGTATTGTAATATGTGTTTTTATAACTTTATTAACAGCACAGACTTTTTTTTAACTTCACAGGATAATTTGAGCATATTGGTCAAAGTTAATTACTTTTCATCTCTAAGTAAAAGTTATTTAGTAGGTTTAATACTATTTATATCTAATTTTTTTATATTGACTGGATTAATATTTGTGTAGAAATATGTGTTTTTGTAACTTTATTAATAGTGCGAACTTTTTTTAACTTCACAGGATAATTTGAGCACTTTAATTGAAATTAACTGCTTACTGTACATTAAGTATAAATGTATAAATGTTCTATATATTTAATCTATTTATATATAAATTATCATCTTGATTAGTTTAATATTCGTTAAGTAATAACTTTCGTAACTGTATCTTTCTCAATTTTTTTGTTTTTTTTGAATATTTATTTGTATAATTTATTAAATATTGTATCAATATAAATGTATACACAAAATTACCATACTTTATAAAAAAAGTATCAAATAAATGTATTTAAAAGTTATTATTTTGTTTTATTATAATTAATTTTTTTTAAATAAATTTAAAAAAATTTTTTTTATTGATTTTTATTGTATTTTTAAGATTACATTTGATTTACCATATGATGTTGTCAAATTATATTAACTGAGTTTATTTATTGGAATGCACTAAATAATATGTAATACTAAATTTGTTAATTTTAAAAGCTTTTAAATATCATAAGAGGATACTAATTTGAGCATAAAAAGTATTTTTTAAAATTAAGTAGTATTAAGCAGTCTTGACCTTCTTTGCTGAGAAGTTTGATTAGGAATACTCATATTAGGATTATATCCATCATCATTGGCTATAAATTTGAAAATAAATATTTAGTTATTCACAAATAAAAATATCATAAACTACTAATAAGAAATAATAAACCATATTTTGAATATAAGTCTCTTTACTACTCATATTAAAATAATCGTAAAAATTGGTCATATCATAATTTCTAGATCTATTTTAACATTAATTCATTATTTTTAAAAATACTTAAAATGATCATTTACAAAAGAAATATTTTACCAAAGTACCTTCAATATTTAATTTAATTCTTTTTTTCTGATTGTACATATTTAGAAATATTATTATTTTAATATTACAAGTGATAAAATACAAAGTACTATACAAAAATTCAAAACTAGTAAATTAATAATACTTTTAAAAAATTTCAAAAATTCGTTATAAAAAATATTAAAAATTTTTAATAAAAAAATTATTTTACAATGCTTAATATAAGAAGAAATAACTCACAAAATATAATTACTTTTAAAGTCAATTAATCATTATTAATCATTTCTCAGATTTGATTCTAAAATTTACTTATTGTATGTGATTTATTTGTATATAAAAAAATTCATTACTAAGAATTTTATTTTTATTTTTTGATTTTATAATTTTTGGCTTCAGAACTTAATTGATTAATGATTCTATTTCTTTTTTTCAAAACCTTAAGCCCTTTTTTATTTTTTTTTTTAGGTAATTCTTTTAGTTTGAAATACTTCAACTTATATTGATAATTTTGATAATATAAGAGACTTTTAGAAAAAAGAATACTAGTTAGTTTATTTTTTAAATTCTAGTCTTAGTAAATAGATAAAAAATTATTTTTAAAAGAATTATATGTCTTTTTGATAATATTTTTAGACAGATAATTGAATTTATATAATTTATGTTGTTCTTGACAAAAACTAATAAAATTTATTGAAATTCCTGAAAAGTCAAACAATATATTAGTTTTTATATTTTTTTAAAAAAAAATTTAATTAAATCAATCATTATATTTTGCATTACATTAATATAAACCATAAATTCATTATTAATGTATATTTAAAATATCAGCATCTTATAGATTACAAAAAAATTTTTTTTAAATTTTGACTTATTGAAAATTTGCTAAAATTTATACTAAAGTTATTAAATTATACACCAAAATTCATAAGGAATAATTGCACTATAGCTTTAAAGGAAAATTTTTATTTAATATTTAAATTTTAAAGCTGAATTCAATAATACTATTAAACATATACTTTATTTATTATTTATTTAATAATTCGCTAAATTTCAAATTAAGCAATAGCAGTTTTGTGAAAAAATATTTAAACTTGAGTTAATACTCAAAATACTGCATTTGAATATTAGTTTATATCAAATCTAAAATCCTATACTTGAATTCTGACTTGATTACTTAAATCAGAAAAATTCTTAACTCTACTTAATTTAAGTTAATTTTTTTAATTCAAATCCAATGACTAAAAATTATATTGAAGAGAAAATACATAAGCATAAGTTCTATTAATTTTTATATTTGAATGTATATATTTTATTACTAATTTATATATACTGTATAATTTATTAAAATTCTTTATTTTAAGAATTTGTTAATATAAGTTAAAACAACATAAATAACTTTAATAATTAAATTTTTAAAATTTTTATTATAGAATAAAGATAAATGTAATACTGACTATAATTTAATAAAACTTAATATTATAAATTTAAAATATAAATTAATTTAGTTATAAAGATATACTCAATTTTATTTATTTATTAAAATTTAAAAATGTAAGAAACTTGAGAAATAAAGTATAACATATATTATATTAATAATTATTTAGTAATTAATTTCAAAATTTTTACTTTAAAAATCTTTGAATCAGTTTCAAATGCTTCTGATATCTTCATATTAAAATGATTTCCTAATATTAGATATTTATTTAATATATAAGTTATAAAGCATTTAAGTTCTATTAATTCTATTAAGTTTAAATATAAGTTTTTATTATAATAAATATATAAAATAATAAATATAGTAAATTTAAATTACAAACAATATATAATTAAATATAATAAATAAAATAATGTATATCTGATTAAATTTTAAATATAAATAATAATTATTTATATTGTATTTAATAAAATTATATAATCTTAAACAAAAATATTCAATTAGAATGATAATAAATCATTCTACTTGAATGATAATAATTGAATAAATGATTCAGTCAGTCAGGTCAGATTTTTGCTTGACTGATTCAACCGTTAAAATATATCTAAATGAAAAATTTTTATTATTCAAAAAATTAAAATAATAATTAATAAAATTTCTTACTTTTTACCATCTTAATTATTAAATATATTTATAAAAAAATTTTAATTAGTTGAAAAAGTATTTAATCAAAATGCTTACAACCTTAATATTATAATAATTTAAAATAAAATTTAGTAAATTCAAAATTCATTTTAAAAATTTAAAGGTTCCCGCTATGTTCAAAGTTTACTTGTATTATATATTATGTAAGAAACTTAATTTATAATATTGTTTTAAGTAACTATCTAGATTTAACTAAAATAAAATGTTAATAGAACTACAAACTTTTTCGATATGATTTATTATATACAGTGATTTTAGTAATATAAGCAAATTTATTTTTTATAACTTTAAATATGCAATAAAAAGGTATAATTATGTTAAGATAATTTTATAAATCATAAATCAATTATTAACCTATTTAAATCAAATTATAATTTCCAGTATGTGGAAATTTTTTCAGGAATTTCTACCCGATAACGGTTACCACCTGAAAATACAGTTATCAAACCCCTATTCATCGATAAATGTCTTAATTCTTCAGAGAATTTTGTGTCACAAGCAATCCCAATATAACGTTTACCTAACAATTTTGTAAATTCTGGATCTGATGCAATTTGATGTTTCTTTAGAAATTCATCTAATCTGTTAATAAGACTTTCTATGTGAACCTAAGAATAGTAGATTTTATCAGACAAAAGATTTATAGGAACTCATAAGAATACACGTCAAATAAAATTTTCAATACTTACATTCGTCATATTATGCTTACATTTGCATAAAAATACCAAATCATCACAAGTTAGGATTCTATAAACTTCCATTATTGGATTTTTTTGTAAATCAAACAATTCTTTTGTTGAAAATGTAAAATAAGTTGCCTAGATGTGTTCATTGAGAACCTTTTTTACTGCTAATAAAGTTTCAACCTCCATTGCTTGGTCTTCTATTTTTGATCATACAACTCCCTTTCTGACTACTGTAAGATGAACGGCATTGATTCTGTAATATTTATTAGGAAATCGCTTTTAATGAGGTGATTACTTCTGGAATTTTATTGTTATCATCAATATCTTCTAAACCTTTTCCCTCAACTCTTTTCAAAAATGCATTAAATTCACTTTGGTTATGCATTGAGAATTTTCAAACCTATCTAATAGTTCGCCCGCATTATTATAAGCTTGGATATAGAAAATTTTAAAACTTCCTGAGAAGCCCAATGGTTATGAGTGTAAATTAGTGCAGAAACATTAAAGCTTAAGTGTCACGACCTTGACTTTTACCTAAATTGCCATCTTACACATTTTAAAAGACGTAAGGAAATTAGTTAAGAGTCACATATTGACTAACTTTTGCAGCGCAAAGCTTACCTGGCCCATTGATTTCCTTAACCAATCTTGCTATATTGACCGCTAGACCACCAGGAAGAATGTAGGGAGAAACTATAAGTTTATCATAAGTCAACCCAAGGAAAGCATTACCGTCAACCTCTTGTTTATTGAGCGTTTCGAAGTGTTTAGTATCAAAACCCAACCTTTGTTCTTTTAAAAAAATATTAAGACCCACAATATCTAAATTTTTCATTTCGGTTGTAGACTTGGTTAAAGATTTGGGAAGAAAATGAGAAAGATTATTGAAAACCATTTTTTTATTAATCACATTTCAAAATTATGTTTACAAACTTCATGATACGTCATATTACATAACCATACATGATTCGGAACCTCGTGTAAGATTTATATACTAGGTTTAAGGATTTTTTCGGATAGTATTTTTTAAATATGAAACGTGTGGTAGCTTTTCAGAATGTTATAAACGGCTATCACGTGACTTTATTTAGCAATTTTTTTAGTTTATTAAGGTTAGTTATTTTACAAATTCCACTGAGGATTCTAATTTGTAAAATACTAACGATTTATAATATAAAAGTTTGATTTACATTCCATTATAACAATATCTTAAATTATTATGAAACTTCATTTAAATATCGTAATTGCAGAAAAGAAACATCGGTTATAATAATTATTTTAACCACAATAAGAGCTGGGTTTAGTTTTAGGTAATGATAAAAAGAAATTTTAAAGGATTCTTAAATTTGATATTAATGTCTGATTTAGCAATAAGAGTAAAAGTAGAAATTTGTTTGATAAAATCTAAAAAAAAAAAAAAATAAATAAACAAACAAATAAGTTAATACATTTTCTCTACTTATTATAATTTTATAATTAATTTATATTAAATGAAAAGTTAGCATATAAATCATGATCCTATAAATTTTAACATGTAAAATAAACTCTACTAACATTTTATTATAAAATTTACGATACCATGGGGAAGATACTTTTTCAAAATTTAATTAATTTCTTTACTTTGTAACTTGAAAACGACTAATTTCTTATTTAAAAATATGGATTACAAATATTCTGTCGATTTTTTATTTATTGACTAACGATGTTATTGTGTTATTGTGGTAATTTTTAATTTTTAAAAAATATTAATTAAATAAAAATTTATTATCGTGTTCACCATACTTGTTTTATACTTTTATTAATATCTATAATTTGTTTCTATTTTTAATATAATAAAGTAATATAAAGTATAAAATAGTAAATATGGGATACTGTGCTAATTGTAAATAAAAGTTTTCAAGAAATCCCATCGTCTAATTTTAGTTTAGATTTTTGGTCATCAAATTATAAGAATTTCTGAGCTAAAGATAAAAAACTATTTATAATTTTTACCCTGGAGCTTGTCCTCGTTTTTTTAAGGGGATAATTAATAAATATCCCAAAAACTTTTTCTAACGAGTATTTAGATAATTTATATCTTTTCACTTTTCGCGACGTGATAAAACGGAATAGACACCTTAAAATGTTTATCTGTAATTTATGAATATAATTTGGTATTTGTAGTGTGATCTTTTTAATTGTTGCAGTATTAATAGATGTACTTTCATCTATATTTTCAAAGTTAAAAATAATAAAAAAAAACTAAAATAATCAAAATAATCGAAGTTTATTACCATTAAAACTGCCATACCTTGAAATATAATTTTTAGTATATAAATGTTACTTTTTTATAAAATAAAGCAATTCGTTTTCTATAATATATTAATAAACTCATTCGTTAAGTGCTTCCTTCTAATAGGTTTCTAAAAGTATAATTCGCCTAAAATAAATTTGTTAAATTATATTATTAAGCTTATCACATTTTTCGTGGTTCTTAAAAAGTGGTCCTTTCATTTTTTTTAAACAAAAATTGTTATAAATGACGAGTAAATGAATGATAATGAACTTCTCTTCATAATTTTAAGTCAAACATCATGAAATCACACGATAATATCGTTATTGGTGCTTGCGTTGATAAATAATCAAAATTATCGGTAATTTACTATTTGATGATTTTTGCTAGTACAATTAGTTACTAATCATTATTTTATGTCAAATTGTAAATTACTACAGAGGGTGGACAAAAGTATCCGCACACTTTTTCACTCAATATAAAACTTCAAAAAATTTTGCATTAACTATGA